TATTTCCCAGTTTTACATATTTTACAAATAAAAAATAAATATCAGCTCTGTTTTTATTCTAGGCATTTTAGGATTCATCGAGAAAAATAAAGGTACAAAGAGCGACCGTCGTTCTCTTCCCACCAACACAGTGCAGCTTATTCTCAGAGTGTCTCTCCTCCATCAGGACGCCAGCACGCCTCGCCGGATGATGTCAGAGCCGTAGCGGCGGCTGAGAGACGAGTCGCCCCTCAGCTGGTGGGAGTGGCATCGTTTCAAACAGGGCTCCACCTCGCCGTCGCTCGGTTTGGAGTCGGAGGCGTAGCCGTCGCTCTCCGTCCCCGTGCGGAGTCGTGTTCTGGCGTACGGCGGCTCCGGCGTGTTGGTCAGCGGCCTCAGCAGCGGCTTGCGTTGCTCCGCCTCCTCCTTCATCGTCAGAGGTCGCTCGCTCCTTTTCGGGATCCTGAACTTCCCCCAGCCTCGGATGTGGCTGACAGACCCGTGGGACGAGTGGGAGCCGCTCGCCGGGGTTCTCCTCAGCCACACGTTGGTTTTGGCGTCGGACCCGACGGCGGCTCTGTGAAACTTAGTGTTGGTTGTCACATCCAGAGAGGCGGGGCTTCTCCTGGTCAATCCTTCGTCTATGAAGTAGTCGTCGGCGTCGGAGCTCCTGATGTCCACCAGCCGGATGGAAACGGTTTTCTCCAGATGTTTTGCCCCGAACTTGTTCTTGACCTGACTGGAGACGTTCTCTTCCACCTCGCTCCTCCTCTTCCTCCTCCTCTCCTCCTGCTCGTGGTCGTTGTCTCGTCTCCCTCTGGTCAGTGTCTCGGGTTCGATCCCCGTGGCCTCTCTCCTGGGAGCTTTCCTGCTCTCAGGTTTGTGCAGCTTGAGAGCGATCGCCTCCTGAACGACCTCTGACTTCTTGAGCTTTGGGAAAAGAAACTCCGGACTGATCTCAGAGTTTTGGATTTGGCCGTCGCCTGCAGCCTCTTTGACTCTGGAACTCTTAACGTCCTTCGTCTCCGGCGGTTTGCTCAGATTCTCCTTCTTGTGAACGTGTGGTGAGTCAGAGAAGCTCCTCCTGTCGGTGCTTTTCCTTCTCTCCTGCTTCAAAGAGCCTCGTTTGGTTTTGAGTCCAGCGTGGCTCCAGGAGGAGCGAGACTTGGAGCCCTGAGAGTTCAACCAGCTCAGAGAGAAGAGCTCCTCCAGGTCCTTCGCTGAAGGATCTCCTGAAACACACGTTCAACTTTTAGAATCAAAGTCCAGTTTATTAAGTTTCTCTTTTAATGGAGAGCTCATCTTGTGAGTAAAGTTTTATTAGTGTCGTTACACTAATGATAATTACACACTAATTAACAATTAAGAAATCTGATCCAGTTTTAAGAGAAAATTTAAAATTTAAATTCTCCATAAATCTTTAAAAACAGGATAAAAACCTACTTGAAGAAAATGAAAAAGGCCGAGAGTGAGTGGAGTCATAGCATTTGTATAATTGAAAGTGTCTTCTTCAGCTTTTGTTCCCGTTAACTGACCTGTGAGCAGCTCGTGGTCGAGCAGCTTGACCTGGTGCTGGAAGATCTGCTCCTGGACTCTCCACAGCGAGCGCTTCATCTTCTCCCTCCGAGTCACCATGTAGGTCAGGTTACGAACCTAACGAGCCCAACGACAGAAACTAATTAATACAAAGAGTTAAGAAGAAAAAACCTGAACGAGTCACTACACTCGTTTAACAAGTTAAAGTTAAAAACTCTGAGCTGTATTTCTTTTTTAACTGTCAGTCGGAGCCTCCTCCTGCGGATCTTCTCCTCCCAGTGCTCCAGGTGAAGTGGAAACCTACCCTCTCCAGGTCCTGGCGGAGGTGCGTGAAGAGCTGCAGGCGTCGCAGCAGCACCTCCTGCTCGCGGCGTGCCAGGCTCTCCTCCTCGTCCTTCTTGGGCGTGAGGAGCGGCTGGTTGAAGTTGGCTTTGCGCTTCAGCTTCCAGTACTGGTAGAGGAAGTCCACCACCTCCGGCAGCAGCTTCAGGTGACTGGCCACCTCCTCCACCTCCACAAACTGGTAGAACTCCTCCTCCATCTCCTGCAGTTTCAGCTTGCGCAGGTTGACTCGATTCTCCAGCTGGCGGCTGCTCAGAGCCTCCGCGTCGCTGGACGCTCTGTCCACGAGCTGAGGCGCCACGTAGGACGACAAAGAGGAGGAGGAGGCGGCGGCGTCTTCCTCCCCTCTCACCCTGCCTCTCCTCCTGCCCTTCTTGTCTCTGACACACACCTTCTCCTCCTCGTCTCCCGAGTCTCCGTCTCTGGACTCTACGCCCTCGATCCCAGAGTGTTTGGGGCAGTACGACTTGAACTTGACCTCGTCGTCCTCAGTGAGGATGGTGTTCATTTGAAGGCTGGCGTGGAGGCCGCACGTCACGTGGAAGGCAGTCCGGCAGTTTTTAGCTGAGCACTAGAGCAGCGGAGACAGAGTTCGACTTAAACACTGGAAACAAACAAGTCTTAAAATACTTTCACCATCGGTGTCATGTGACTCATTAAGACTGGAAACGTTTAGACTATGATCATCGACGATCTCATTGTTTAAGAAGGAAGGTCGAGTGCATTGTGGGAAATGTAGTTTGTTTGTTTGCCCTCTTGGCTCATTAAAAAAGTTTTTCACGTTGAGTGTCAGACTGTGACTGACCACGGCTCAGTGAGATGTGTTTGAGGAAACTGACGCAGCATCACGCCTGCTGTGAACACTCATCTCAGCGTCTGAATTACTCGACGCAGTCACGCTTTGCTTTTCACGCCTCATTAAGTGTGTGTGTGTCTCTGTGTGTGTGTGTGTGTGTGTGTGTGTGTGTGTGTGTGTGTGTGTGTGTGTGTGTGTGTGTGTGTGTGTGGAGGGAAACATGAGCAGAGACTCCACCTGAATACACGCTCCTCTCTTCTCTTTGCACAGGCAGCAGATCAGAGCCCATCTGTTGCTGGGGATGTGGGACACGTTGGTGATCGGCTCCATCTTCTCTGGATTCCCGATGCTCACCTGCGCCGCACAGTCAACAGAATTAAGACTCGTGTGCTGCACTCGTTCAGAAAACAAATGCACCATCGGACTTCCTGTTGTGTTGGTTTTGCTCTTTTACAACATTAATTAAAAAGTTTAAAATCCTTCAAGTTGCAAACTTTTTGTTTTGTCTCACAGAAAAATCTAAAAAAGTTTGGTTGAATTTATTTCAACGTTATTTTAACGTGTTGAGTTGTTGCTTTAAGTAACTAACCCTAACTTTTAAGTACAATAATTATTTTTGATTAAAAACACAGAGAAAGAAAAATGTTTAAGACGACATAAGAGATTTGTCTTCACCTCTGGAATCCACAAGGCACAGCTGACGTGGACCCACTTGGTTCCACTTCGGGTCGGTTTCATGGCTCCACCCTTCTTGGGACACAGCTGACATTTGGGCAGGATGCCGAGGGCACAGATCCGGCACAGCCAGCTGCCCTTCGGGACTTTCTGGATGCCGTAACACGCCTGCAGAGAAATGCAAACAGGTGGCGTCTCAACTTCCGGGAAGAAAAAAAAAAAAAGGAAATCGATAGAAGAGCAGCAGCGAATGAACAGAGAGAGAAAAGAAGTGTGTCATGGTGGTAAGATTGTTTCCTTCCTCCCTCATGTTGAGTTCAAGAGTCCGTGTGTCGACCTCCCACCTGGTGGACGCAGATGTTGCACTTGTCGCAGAACACCATCTCGTTGTTGTCCTCCCCGTCAGGCGACCGGCACACGTCACACACCACGTCCTCGTCGTACTCGATGCCCAAACCCTCCTCCGTCTCCGTGGCGTGCGTCATGTTTTCGTGGCAGCGGTGCTCAAACTCCTCTATCACCCGCTCCATGGTGATCTCGTCCAGCAGAGGCATCGCTGCAAAGAGACGGAGGCAAAGTTGTGCAACTTGTTTGTCAAGAAGTTTCTCTGCTTTCGTTTGTTGCTTTTATATTTTGGTAAAATATATTACAAGATTACGATCAGACACTCGATCTTGCTCCTCGGGTTAAATCTGCTTTTCATTATATTTGACATTTAAATCTTGTTTGACGAAAGCATCAAGTGCTTTTTCTGAAAATTACACACTTGTGGAATCAAAGCACGACATTTAAAGTCAAACAGATGAACTCCACACAAAATAAAATTACTCAACACACTAATTTCTCTTGTCTTGTACAGCTGCAAGTTTGGAGTTGATCCTTTTACCCGACAGCCACAAAACATGTAATTATCCGCTCAGTTTACTGTGACACCAGGGAAGGAGCTGCAGATGATGATGTGCATCTAAACAAAGACGTATTCAAAGCAACACAGGAAAAGAATCAGAACAAACACATCAGGAGACTTTTTCTGACTGTTTAAATCTGTAACTTGAGATGATGATAAAATAAAAACGGAGGCTGGGGGACTGAATAAAGCATTTAAATAAAACCAGAGGTCCGAATATTTTCCACGTGGTTTTGTCTTTTTGTTAATAGAAGTAACACGAGGAATCGATCTTCTGTTTCCGTGACTCACCCATCTCTGCAAACTCCTCGTTGATGATCTGCAGCCAGGCCACGTCTTCCTCGTTCAGGTCGTAGCGGCACATCCCTTCAGCCAGTGTCCGGATGTCGACGTAGCCCAACGCCTCGGCGCCCGACGTCCGGATGAGCTTCTTTGGCTTCACAAACATGACCTCCTTCCCTTTCTCTGTCAGCGTCCTGCGCAGCACAGAGATGTTGAAACTTACTAAAAACTGACTGCACAAAAAAAGCCGTTGAACCGGCCTGTGAGATCTTCCGGTCTGCTGTCTTACCTGGCGACGGGCTCCGGGATGGACTGGGGGCTGACGGGGACCTGGACGCCCTTCTCCCACTCCTGCCTCCACTGGTCGGCGAGGACGTAGTACTCCTCTGTGGTCAGCTGGTACGAGTCGTGAACCTTCATGGCCGTGATCAGGTCGGTCCTGAAAACCTGCAGCAGAAAACAGTTCACACATGAGTGAATTTACGATCACGATTCACAGCAGGTGACAATAATGTCACTACAGCGCTGATCTGAGAACAGTCAGACGTAAGGAGCCGCCGCAGGAGAAGCTGACACAAGACTTTCTAGGATTTAAGGAATAAATCCAGTTTTAACTCTGATGAATCACAATCAATCATTTCGTCTGAATCAAAGTTGGAAACAGTCTTTGATTTACAAGAAGTGCAGACTTCAGTTTGTTAATCTCTTCCAGAAACAACAATTTTAATAATCAATTCATTGTTTAAAGTCAAAATGGCAAAAATTCAAAAGTTACATAATTATAAGTGATTAGACTTATTTATATTTAATAAATCAAGCGAGTGAGGAATAAACTAATGGTTGGTGAGTTATATAAATAATGAGTTTGGTTTTTAAATGTCTGGTCTTTATAAAGCTTGTGTGTATCCTTGTTTACACAGAGATACCAGGCTGTGTGCAGTCAGCTGAACAACAACCAGCCAATCAGGATCCTGCTCAGGCCGCCGTTGTTGTTTTTGCTTTGATTTGATTGGCCCCTGGTCTAAAGGGAGGCAACAGCACGGCGACCTGCAGACTGTGCAGCAGATAAGAGAAAAGTTTCCACTCTCGAGAACTCCAGCAGCAACATAGAGTATAATGTTATATAATTAGAAGTTAAAGCTTCAAATAAAGACTAATTTTACTGATGTTTATCACAGAGTTTACACATTGAAGTGTTTTTATCTTTAAAGACTCATTATATGAAACTATAATCAAATAATAACGAGAATACAAAGTGAAAGCAGAACAGTTGATGACTGAGGAACCGTTCATGTGTTTTTTAAAACATAATCATCATTAAACGTCCCGATGAGACGGACGTACCTCGGAGGGTTTCTGTCCGGTGCCCCTCCTCGGCTGTGATGAATGCTGGGACCAGCAGGTAGAGTTACCTGCAGGAGGAGAACCACACAGTTAACGAAGGACGCAGCATTTCTTCTCTCTCTGTTTCTGTTCTAATGATCAAACGTCTACATGTGTGACTCATTTGGAAAAACAAAGCGATGCAAATGACATTTGGGGTTTTCAGTTTCATTACTAGTATGACTTTGTCTTTTAACATCAGCGAAAGTGCAACTCCAGTGTATTTACATTTCAAAAACGCTTCTGTGTGACTGGAGCCTTCATTTTCACTGAAGTATCGCTACTTCAGATCTTTACTCAGAGGCTATAAAACCGTGTATAATCTATCTTCATGTGTTTTACATATTACAGAAGATCTGTGAAAGTAAATGACAGTTTCCTTCTTATGACTTGTTTGAAATCTCTTGACAAAATATTTTTAGTCTTCGAATCCACGTTCAACTTCTTTTAAGCTCTTCAGACACATTTTACTGTTTCCATCAGCAGAAACTGAGCAGCTCTGTCTTCTGACACATTTGACAGACTGTGGTCGTGTTGTGAAACTTCTGTAATTGAGAACTTTTTGTTGAATGTGGCAAAAACCCCCAAGCATCTGGGAATTTGTGGACAGCGAAACCAATTCTCAGGTGGGTTCAGATATAAGCTTGTCTGCCTGACCCGTCCCTGCTCTGTCTCCTGTTTCTGTCCCTTAATCTTTGTCCCTCCTTGTTCTTTCTCTTTGTGTCCTTTCAAAACACCAAGTGTAAACTTACTGACAAGTACAAGATGGAAAGAAACTGTAAATACAGATAGAAAATGTCCCTTTGACTTGTGGAAAAAACTAAAGATAATAAATAATTACCTTTAAGCAATGTAATTTACATTAAATGAGATTTTGAGGTATTTAGGGATAAACGTTTCCCTCTGATCCACAGACCCAACATTTCTGCTTTGCGCTTTCACTTGTGAATTGGAGGAAGGTGGCGGGTTGGACTGACCTAATTCACGTCTAAATTTGGGCCTGGTATGAATGAGTCAGCAGAAACAATATGTTTGCTTACTTTCATTGTCAGAGTCATCGCTGCTGCTGGGGTTTCTGCTTCTCTTCATTGTCGTCGGTCTGCAGAGCTCCGGCCTCAGGGCACTTCAGTGACAAGATTAGTCAAATAAAAAAATGTCAGCACTTCAGAATGAGACAAGAATTCAGACTCAAAGACTGACACAGATAATGTTTGTACAAAAAAACTATTAATCCATCAAATCCTCACATTTGCGAAACTCAACAGTTGAAATATTTCAGATTTTGTGGATAAAAAAAAACTACAACATAATCATCCAAAGAGTCCATATTATTGTTCTATATATCTACATCACAAATCATCATCTAATGGTTGCAGCTCTCAATAATTAATCATAAGGTGGAGCATCAAGCCTACGTGTCAAGTACAATAACAACAACTTTAAACACACAATGAAACATGAAGTTGGTTGTAAACAATTACAACTAAAAACAGTCCAAAAAGTACAGAAATCAGATTCCACCAGAATAATCTGAACCGAAGATTGTTTCCCTTCAATAGAAATCATTTTGAATATTGTCTTTGCTACTAACAAGGAGCTGTCTGTGTTTGAGTTTCTCTTCTTCACAACCATCGCGGGGCAAAACAAAGCTGCACACTGATCCACATGTTTCCTTGTTGATCTGACAGCACACGAGCCCTGCGGCGATGTGCGTGCACACACACACACACACACACACACACCAGAGTCACTTCCTCAGCGATGACAACAACAAGTTAGCTCCATGCTACACACACGGGAAACAACAACGCAACGCGCAAACACACAACAACAACAACCAGAAACATCTGAGTCCACTGCAGACAGCGTGCACAAGAGAGAGGGGGGGGGGTGCTAACTCTGGCTTAGCTGGCTAGGCTAACATCAGGCTAGTTAGCGCGACGCCCTTTCTCCCAGCAAACAGAGCAGCAGAGAGCTAAGCGTGTAGCGGCTAGCTTTTGGCTAACAGCTGGCCACCCCGACTCTTCATCGGTGCAGAGAAACCTTAGTGAGAACACGCGAGTTCACGGTGTGATGAGAATTTACCTCCGAACACTACAACACAACACTTCCGGGTTGGGTTTATTTACAAAACCCCAAAACAGCAGATTGTGGCTAGCTAGCTAGCGTTAGCCATGTTGCTAGTGTCCCACTACAGTTATGCAACATGCGGGCCCTCCCGCAAGAACGTGAACTGAAAACAAACTAATCTCAGAACCGATCCAATAATAACCAGAAGTGGTTTCCACTGAATGCACGTTACGTTAGCCTGAAGTTGGTGGTTAGCAACGTCGGCTAGCTGGTTAGCTGGAGGCTAAGCTCGTATAAACTACCACGGTTGTGTTTAGCATTAGCCAGCGGTGCTAACTCCGTGTTGACTCCCGCTGTGCCCCCTCGTTACGCCCCGGCTCTCCTCCACAGGTGAGGGGTCAGATATCGACCCGCACAGACTACCTGGAGTCCGAGGGTTGACCCGCGGGTGGAAGGTGCGGAGGAGGGCGGTGAGGAGGGTCAGCTAACCCGGCGGGACGGAGACGCAGCTCCGCCACAGATCCACTGGTTAATCTTTGGCGCCATTTTAAAATGACGGTGTCGGGAGCGCACGGACTAAAGGCCCGTCCGGAGCCGCGCACACACGGGACCTCTGCCCGGACAGAGAGCGAGATAGAGCGGGCGGTACGTACAGAGCACGTCGGGCCGGTGGAGCAGGTGTCAGGGTTTGATGTGGAGCGCAGTTTGAGCCGAGAGTTCCGCTTGACCCGCCGCATTCCACACACACACACACACACACACACACACACCGGGGGGAGGTTACCCTGCCCCGGCCGCAGCTCCGCCTCGGGCCCGCTGGAGGGCGGCAGAGCTCCCGGAGCCACATGTTTCCATGGTTACATCACCCAGGATGCCCCGCTGCAGGTTTAATGTCAACAAACATGTCAACACACATGTGATCGACAAACATGTCAACACACATGTGATCGACAAATAAATATACTATCATCATGTCAATAAGAAGAGATGAGCTTCATCTTCATTCGTCGCTGTAGAAAGTACATTTGACCTGGCAGCACCAATGTGAATGTCATAAGAATCCAAAAAATAAAAAAGACGGAAAAAGAAACATTATTTCCTGAGCTGGGACAATATCATGAAACTTTCAGATGATTGTACAAGATTCTTCACAGATGATACGACTGATGATAGACTCAGGAGGTCAGTAGGAGGTGGTGGAGGTGGTAAGAGGCGATAGGAGGCGATAGGAGGCAGTAGACGGCAGTAGGAGGCAGTAGGAGGCGATAGGAGGCAGTAGGAGG